AGATGTTTAAGTGAATTGTTATTGTAGTTTAAACAGTATAACTAAAGGAAAAATGTTTTTTTTTGTTTTGGATAGAGTAGAGGTGGATTTAAAACACCTGTTCGGTTTTTATTGCTGTTTGTGTCCCTGTTAGAGAGACTCATCCTCTCTATTTGTCCTGTTTACCATTATCATTGAAAGTAAAAGAAAATCCCACATTTTGGGTTGTCCCCAGAAAAGTAATAGAGGGGAAATCTTCCAATGGGGACACTAGTTCTGGTGACCTGGGTGGCCCCAAGGAATTCTCTTGCAGATGCTCAGGGCCAATGGATCTTTCAAACCACTAAGATGTTCTCAAACTCCCTGGAGTTGAGGGCAGTGTTTCAGGCTCAATCATTCCTTGCAGATGCTCAGGGCCAATGGATCTTTCAAACCACCAAGATGTTCTCAAACTCCCTGGAGTTGAGGGCAGTGTTTCAGGCTCTGCTGACTTTTAAGCACCCAGTCCAGGGTGGTGGTGTTCTCAGGTAGCTGGTCAATACAACAGCTGTGGCCTACATGCTTAAACAGGGGGTACCCGTAGCATCTCCCGCTTGAGGGAGGTCTCGCCGATCCTATAGAGGGCTCAGGTCAACTTACAGCTGGTAACAGCAGTCTGATTGCCTGGTTGGAAGAATCTTCAGGCAGATTACCTGTCCAGGATGACACTGAGCAACAATAAGTGTTCACTATTACCGCAGGTCTTTCAGGACCTAGTAGCCTGGTCTTTCATAATGGATGTGGATCTGCTTGCCTCCTCATCCAAAAGACCATATTCAGAGAGTAGTGGTTAATGATTCATACTCCGAATGGTCTAGAATTGTTAGTGGTGTACTCCAAGGTTCAGTGTTGGGACCCTTACTTTTTAAATATATTTATAAATGATATAGGGTCTGGGATTAAAAGTACTATATCAGTGTTGAGATTACACCAAGCTATACAGTGGAATAACGTCTTTACAGGATATCTCCAATTTACAAGCCGACCTCAATACACTGTTTTATTTGGCAACTATGTGGCAAATGAAGTTTAATGTTGATAAATGTAAAGTTTTGCACTTGGGGGCTATAAAACATGCATGCATCTTGCATATTAAGGGGAGTACATCTGGGGGAATAGATGGTGGAGAAGAATCTGGGTATTCTGGTAGATCATTCGTTTAATAATAGCATGCAATGCCAATCTGCGGATTCCAAAGCAAGCAAAATCTTGTAATAGGAGAGGTATAGACTCCAGAGAGAGAGAGAGAGATCGAGAGATCATTTTGTACAAATTATTAGTAAGACCTCATCTGAAATATGCAGTTCAGATTTGGGCACCAATTCTCAAATAGGATATTGGGGAACTGGAGAAAGTGCAGAGAAGGGCAACCAAACTGATGAATAGAGGCATGGAGGAGCTCAGCTATGAGGAAAGATTTGAGAAACTGAATTTATTCTCTTTCGAGAAGAGGAGATTAAGGGGGGATATGATCAAGAACATGTATAAATACATACTGTAGGTGGTCCATATAGTGAACTCGGGTGTAGAGTTATTCACTTTTAGGTCATCACAGAGGACAAGGGGGCTCTCTTTACATCTGGAGGAAAAAAGGAAATATGGAAAGGCTTTTTCACAGTAAGAGCGGTGAAAATGTGGAATAGACTCCTCAAGAGATGGTTTTGGCCAGCTCAGTAGATTGTTTTAAAAAAGACCTGGATTCTTTCCTAAATTTACACAATATAACTGGATACTAATATTTATAGGTAAAGTTGATCCAGAGAATATCGGATTGCCTCTTGGGGGATCAGGAAGGATTTTTTTCCCCCGCTGGAGCATATAGGATCAAGCTTTATTGGGGTTTTTGCCTTTCTCTGGATCAACTGTGGGTATTGGATTGTGTATATGGGATTGTAAATATTTAGATTTCCCTTTTATTAGTTGAACTAGATGGACTTGTGTCTTTTTTCAACCAGACTAACTATGTAACCAAGTTGCCACAATTGTTCTCCAGGTCCCATCACCAGCAAGTGGTGGGGACAGATGCACTGACCACAAGTTGGACCTTCAAGACAACCTACCATTTCCACTGGTCCTGCTGATTCTCAGCTTCCTGGACTCAATATTGTAATCAATTTTAAATCCTGGTCTCAATTGTTCATTCTTGTTTTTGTATCCCTAGATCCTATGCCCAAATGTTTGTTCTATTTTTAGATCCTGGGCTCAACACTTTCAATCTATTTTTAGATCTTGAGTTCAACAGTTTGATCTATTTTTAGTTCCTGAGCTCAACTGTTCAATCTATTTTTAGATTCTGGGCTCAACAGTTCAATCTATTTTTAGATCCTGGGCTCAACTGTTCAATTTATTTAAAGATCCTGGGTTCAACTGTTTAATCTATTTTCAGATCTTGTGCTCAACTGTTCAATCTATTTTTAAATCCTGGGCTCAATTATTTGTTCTAGCTTTAGATCCTGGGCTCAACTGTTTGATCTATTTTTAAATCCTGGGCTCAACTGTTTGTTCTAGTTTTAGATCCTGGGCTCAACTGTTTGATCTATTTTTAAATCCTGGGCTCAACTGTTTGTTCTAGTTTTAGATCCTGGGCTAAACTTTTTGATGAATTTTTAGATCCCGGACTCAACAGTTCGTTGTATTTTGAGCTCTTGTGCTCCATAGTTCAATCTATTTTTAGATCCTGGTATCAACTCTTTGATCTATTTTTAGATCCTGGGCTCAACAGTTCAATCTATTTTATGATCGTGGGCTCAACTGTTTGATCTATGTTTAGATCCTGGACTCAATAATATGATCAATTTTAAATCCTGGGCTCAACTTTTAGTTCTGTTTTTAAAACCTTAGATCCTGTACTCAACAGTTCGATCTACGAGGAGCGTTCAAGTTAAACCTGGACTTTTGAGTTTTTATAATAAAAGAACTGTCTGTTTCCAGGGTAATATGTCTGCATGGTGAAAAGTATACGTTATGGCACCGCTCCAAGCTATGGATGGAAGGAAAAGGATCACGCCACCGGCAAGTGAGAAGGGAGGAGCATGAGTCCGAGCGATTACAGTGTAAGCCAATACAAGTGAAGGGGGATGGACGCTGCTTAACGGACCCCAGGAGTCCAATGTTGAGGAATGGCCTTAGCCGCCGTTCTGGCCACACCCTCTGATATGTTTTGTCCCACCCACCGGGGCTTGTTCACAGAGGCCTCTTCTTAACAATGTTTCCAGAATTTCCTGTATGTATGTAAGTAAGGCCTCATTAACACTGGAGTACCAATCCACACAGGTACGCATCCCTGACTGTACATCCCCAATCTCTCTGCATTCTGATCAGTGCATCAGTCCTAAACAGATGTACAATCAGGGATGCGTTTGGAGATCTGTGCAGCTTCCTATCTGTCATTGATTAGAACGGCTTCCTGCATGTGGCTGCATGGAACACCTGTGCGTCCTGGTTGGGTGAAGATGGCCCTTCACACAGGTGTACAGATTACTACACCCATGCGAATGAGGCCTAGCAAAGGCACATGAGAGGCTGTCACTGTTTCAGTACTTTACTCTATGAAACATATTTGTGCTCAGATGTTTTTATACGATTACTGTAATGCTGGGTTCGGACTGGTGCGCTGTGGTTTAACTGCAGCGCACATGTAGCCATGGTTTTTATGTGTTTCACCCATGGTTTTAGCTGCAGTCCCTTAGACTTCTATTACGTCACGTGCTTTTGTTGTGTTTTCGGAAAGAGCACCAAACGTTCTGCAAGCTGCATCTTTGGTGCGCTTTCAGAAAATGTGGCAAAAATGCTCGATCCAATAGAAGTCTATGTGTCTATGGCTGAAACCGTGGATAAAATGTACAAAAACTGCAGATACACCTCTGCACTGTGGCCAAACCGCATCGCTCCAGTGTGAACCTGGCCTTAGACCCAGTTCATACTAGTGCTGGTTATGCTACCCACGTTTGCATGGGCATGCAGCTCATTCATTTGAATAGGCTGCTGTGCCTGCTTTTCATGCAAAGAAAAGTGCATGCACCTTTTCCAAAATGCATCTGCAAGGAAACCGCTTGACCTTTTTGACCATGCGGTTCTCTGCACCCAAGGTCACATTGCGGGATGATTCCTGCACCCACAACCAGCCCACAGTATGTGTGATAGTGTGAACCAGGGCTAAAGCTACAACGTTGCATACTCGGGTTATTTTACAGGTGTTTTCTTTGTGCTAATTTGCACGTTTTATGGTGATGTGCCATATAGGAGATTAATTGGGGCAGGGCCTTGCATTTTTGTTGCCATAGACTTTAATCATGGGAGCTCCTGAAAAAACAAATCAACATTTTCTATGGGACACTATACTACAAAATACTCCCACAAATGCGGGCCATTAATTGCAAACAAGATTTGTTAGTTTTCCCCTACACAAAAGTATTTTTCCTAACAAATTCATTCAGGTTCATGTTGCAAAAATGAATACACCCCAATGAAATTCTTAGGAGCAAAGCTAAATTTTAGGCAACAAAATCCTAATGAACAAGAATTCAACTACAGGTGAGTCTAATTATTCATTCATTGCTGTCAGCCATGGCACCACATGGAAGAGAAATGTCACAAAGCCTGAGAAAGAAAGTATTTTCTTTACACAAGAAAGGTGAAAGCTACAAGAAGATCAGCAAAGCTTTACTTATCAGTCAAAATACTGTAGCAAAAGTAATACAAAAATTTAACAAAGATGGAACTGCAATCATCTCACAGAGACGTCCAGGCCGTCCACTGAAGTTAACACCTTGACAGGAGCATCTTTTGATGAGAAGGGTTGAAGAAAATCACCTTGCAAGTTCACTGCAGTAAGCTAAAGAAGTAGAAAGCCAAACTGGAGTGATTGTTTCCTGTGACATATACAGTGTATTCTGCAGAGAAATTGCATGCATGGGTGTCATCCACGAAGGAAGCCTCTCCTAAAGCCCATGCATAAAAAAACCCACTTATAATTTGCCAGGGCCCATACTGAAAAAGAAGATTACTATTGGGACTCTGTACTCTGGAGTGATGTGACCAAGATAAATGTTTTTGGAACGGATAGTGTCAAAACTGCATGATGTCGCAAAGGTGAGGAGTACAAAGAAAAATGCATTATGCCTACATTGAAACGTGGTGGCAGTGTCCTTCTGTGGGGCTGCATGAGTGCTGCTGATATCAGGGAGCTGCATTTCATTGATGGTATCATGAAATCACAGATGTACTGCTCTGTATTGAAAGAGAAGATGCTACCAGCACTCCGTGCCTTTGGTCACTGTGCACTTTTCCAACATGACAATCATCCAAAACACACGTCTAAGACCACTGTTGCATTTCTGAAGAAGAACAGGGTGAAAGTGATTCAGTGGCCAAGTATGTCTCCTGATCTGAACCCAATCAAACACCTATGGGGTATTTTGAAGAGATAAGTTGAGCATCACTCTCCATCCAGCATCCAGGCTCTAAAAGAGGTCGTTCTTGAAGAATGGAAAAAGATAGATGTTGCAGTATGTCACCAGCTTGTTCATTTCATGCCATTCCAAGAAGACTTGGTGCTGTCTTTACAAATTATGGAGATCATACAAAATACTAGATGTAGTAGTTTTTTTTGTGGGGTATATTTATTTTTGCATCAACTAATTTGAGCAAAACTAGAGATTTTGTTATCTACATTATATTATTAATCTTACTTTCATGTAATGAGCTAAACAAATGTTCTATAAAACTCAATTTTGTAAAAATTTCGGAAACTATTCTTGTGTTTAGTGAGATATTGATTAAAATCCTACTTACCCCCTTACTTTTCAAAAGGGGTGTACTTATTTATGATATATATATTGTGGGAACTCGCTTCAAGTGGTAGAGCTCGTCTCGTTAAAGCACACAGCAACTCGCTTCTTTAAGGGCTTTCTTGCCCACTTTTATTTAAAAGAACAAAGTTCAACAAAAATGCTCCCCACGCAGGGGTATCCACCATCAAACAAATTAACAGTATTCAGCCTCCTGGCTTGTACGCAGTTTTAAGTCTGCCTCCTGCAGACTCTTCCCAAAATATGGCCACTAGCACACAGCTAGTCTGGCTTCCACCTGACTCCAAGGCAGAGACCTCCTGTCTGCCGGGGTGGAGCCCTCCTGACTCCGTTTGCCGGGGTGGAGCCCAGAACCATGGGTAGGCCTCTATAAAAAGGCCTGCACACACCTGTGCAATCAGTGTGCTGGGGGTTCTCAAAACACGGACCCCGGATTGGAGATTTCATCCCTCCCAGATCTCTTTGAAATCTCCAGGCTCCAGATCCCAAAACAGACTTAATGAATATATGAGGAAACTGAAAAGCCAGTTTCCTCTGCAATACATCAACTCTCTGGAGCCCCTCAACCTGCCTAGTTGAGAATCCAGGGTTTTCAGCTTTATTTTGACCGTGGCAGGACACAGCACTGCCACATATCCCCCCCTTTGTTTTGATCCCATAGGGGGCGGAACACACAAACCTAAAACCCTTGCTTTAGACCGTCTGTGCGGGCTATCACCTGTAAAGGTCCAATCCTGGCTGACTTCATTTTCATCAAAGGGAGACACTACTCCCTGCCCCAAGAGGTGACTTCCCCTGTCTCCCCTTACTTGGGCTCTACGACATCCCCGTGCCTTTTTACGAGTGCGCTTCCAAAAGCGCGGTCTTTCTAATTTCCTTAAGACTATTCTTAAGACTATTCTAGTCCTTTTACCACTAGGGGGTTTACAAATCTCAGTACCCTTTGTAACCTGGGGTTGACACCTAAGCTTTAAATGCCTGGTACCTGTAATATTACAACGTGCTCCCTCAAATTCCTCTAGACCATCCCTTTTTGCTTCATTTAATTTTACAGCAGATATACTTTTAAACCCTTTAGTAACAGACATGGGCTCTTTTATTGTGGCATCAAACTCTTTTAACATACCCTTGTTAAGCTTTGGGCCAGTTCCCTTAGACCTTTCATTCTTACAACTTGGGCGTTTACTGGACCTTTGGAAAACTTTTCCAGAGTGACCTTCCTGAACCTGTAGGGGGCCTATTACTATACTCTTAACCTCTCTTGTGTCTATTAAGCACTCATTACCTTTTTCAGGATGACCAGCTACCATGTCAACTCCACCACCAGGTCTACCATTCTTTTTGTTATCACACATAGTAATCAGACAATCCAAATTCATCAACACATTTCCCTTTCATTTCATTAGCCAAAAGACTCTTGTCAGAACTCAGTTCACTAGTAGTTGGCAGGGCAGTTTCTGGAGAGGAATCACCCACAGCGGAGTGGGTGTCTCCCATGGAAACGTCACTACCCATTGACTTCGCTGTCACAAAAGACTCTGCCAGCAACTGTCCTGAGGCCAAACCATCCTTACATAAGTCTGCATTTGGGTAAACAACCCCAACCACATCACATGTACATGTGTCTTCCGGCACTTCTGCCCAAACCTCTGTCCTGTCCAACAATACTCTGGTGTGCCTCTCATACAGATTACTGCTATGAAGCAACCCAGCAATGCACTGAAAGACAATTTTCACCATTACCAACAAGGATGGCATCACAGAATTCCCTATATTGACCTTCTTTGTTTTGTATAGCCTGTAATACCCAGCTCCGATTAGCGGGACTCCACTGTACCAGCTCTCCCGAACATGGAAGAGACAGCAAGGTATACACCGGCTCTACACTCCAGAAGGCCAACATTTCCTTCAGCAGGTCTGTTATAAAAAGACAGCCTGATTTCACACATAAGACCTTCCTGGAGACATGGAGACACTCATTTACTGATGCCTCAGAGGTGGTGCTTCTTAAAGAGGCTTCCTCTCGGCTGGAGGTACCCAATACAATAACCTGGGGCTCTCCCAGAGCGTAACCAGGTGTGGGATTCACCCAAATGCTCTGAGGCTCAGTGTCAATGAGCTCTTCCACGGCTTCTCTATGGATATCAGTTTGGTACACTAAACCATTAACTCCTTTATGGGCTGTGGGCAAAACTCCTGCTGAGCGTTTATCCTTAACGGTGCCTTTTACCAGCGGTGGGTTAATTTTAGCAGCGACAGGAGCGCCCTGGACTAATAGCTGCTCCACAGTCCCTCTATTCAGCACAGCAGAAACCATGTCCACCCCATTGTTACCCACACAGGCATCTTTTATTAATGCCAACAAGCTTGTTGCCCATCTGTCCCAGTCCATCGTCCCTGTGATCCCATCAGAGGTACTACGCAGTACCACTCCAACCGCTGAAGGAGACACAGAGGGACAGAGTGGCTCTGTATCAGACCCATTACCTATATCTTCATTATCCATATCACAATGGGAGACTCCTTTTCTAGGCATAGCAGGTTGCAATTTCCTACTCTCACCACCGTGACCTAGTGGCGTGTCATTCACTACAAAAACTTTTGCATTAGTGGATTGCATTAACCCATCATCATTATGAATACGTTCATACCTTTTAGATTCACCATTGCCAGACTGAACTAACAAATTCTCAACACTCAATTCAGACACACTCTGGTCCACCAGAGCAACATCATAGTTATCCTGGGTTACCTTAACCACTGTTGCTAGGGGAGAGAACACATCCTGCTTAGTGGTCACCCCTACTACATTTAATTTAATTGAAGCGACACGGTGTCATGTTTTGATAATATACAGAGCACTGTGTGCTGCCCATAGCAGGGGCGGACTGACCATTTAGGCATTCAGGCACTGCCCAAGGGCTCGGGGTCAGTAGGGGGCCCCATGAGATTCCCCTTGTACTTTTCATAGTCTTTTTTGGGTGTGGTTTGAATGTGGGAGATGATGATTTACTATTGCCCGGGGGCCCCATGAGTTGTCACTCCGCTCCTGGCCCATAGTATCATTTGCATAGGTGTTTGAGGAGCGTTAATAACACCCATCAAATACCTGCTTTCAATGCTAATGTGAACTAGACCAAAGGGAGACAATGCTGTTACAATTCCTTACAACAGGATTTAATTAAGTTTGTGTAGCTGCTGACTTTTTTTTTTTTCCAGGTGGAACTCAGCTTTAACCACTCCCCGTCCAGCCCATGTATATAAACGGCCAGATGGGAGCAGTGCCAGGGTGGGTTGCCGTTCATAAATGGTGCCTGCCATTTTAGCCTGTTTCTTCCTCCCAATCAGTGATCACATGAATAGTAGTAAGCAATCACAAAGATCACATGGTACAAGGCTATTCACAACAGCCTTGTACCATGTGACAAGCTGTGACCAATCACAGCTCTCACAGTATTTGTTAATGACTGCAAGAATGCAGCCAAAGAGAAAGAGAAATGATTGCTTTTACAGCCTTTATGGGTGTAAAAGCAATCAGTGTAAAAAAAAAAAAAAAATCTTCATCACCCCCCACAAGTAGTACAGTGTCACTATGGCGAAACTGTACTGCTAGGGTGACAGTATGTTAAAAAAAAAAAAAAAAAAACATAAATAATATAATAAACTATAATAAAAATGTAAATAAATTGTTTGAAAAATTATAATTTTTGGTTATAACTAATTTGGGTTCTTTTATTTTTTTACTAAAAAAATAACTGAATACATTTTGGCCAAGATTTATGATGAAGAAAGATTATTTATTTGCAAAATTTTATAAGAAAAACACTTTTTTTCAAAATTTGTGGACATTTTCATTTATATAGCAAAAAAATAAAAATCCCAGTGGTGAATAAATACCACCAAAATAAAGTTTTATCTGTCTCAAAAAAATGCCAAAATAGGAATATGGGTACAGTGTTGCATGACCACGCAATTGTCATTCAAAGTGTGATAGCGCTGAAAATTGGCCTGGACAGGAAGGGGGTGAAAGTGCCCAGGGGCGGACTGACCATTCGGAAACTCGGGCACTGCTCGAGGGCCCGGGGTCAGTAGGGGGCCCCATGAGATGCCCCTGGTACCTTTTTCATAGGCTTTTTTTTAGTTTGGGCAAGGACACAGGGGCCCCATGATCCCCTATTGCCCGGAGGCCCCCTGGTCCGGACTTGAATTGGTTAAACTTCAAACCGTATGTTCTATAAAATGTGATTTTCTTATATATTTGTCACATTGTAGTGTTTTTTAGTTGTGGTTTGTATTTTTTCCTGGAGTTATTCCTGTTTTGTATACAGGTGGAAGCTGCCTCACACACACATTGGCAGCTGTGTGGAAAGTGCGGGAAGAGCCGTGTTGAGGTTCCACTGCAGCGTGCAGTATGGTGACGGTGCAGGAGGAGGGGTTGTGAGAAGGAGGAACACGGAGGATTAAGCAGCAGCGCAAGCAGCTTCCTGGAGGACGGAGCTGGCTTGTGAAGTGCTGCTTTCCTAACTCGGGAACAAGATGGTCCTGGACAGCATAGCTCGAGTCATCAAGTTGCAGCTTCCCGCCTATCTGAAGAGACTGCCGGTCCCAGACAGTATCGCCGGCTTTGTCAGGCTCACAGGTAAGCGGAGCCGGCAATGATTCCCAGTCAGGCCCGCCTCTCTCTCACACACTAAGTTTGGTAGTGCGGCCACAGGCTGCCATCAATGTACGTTCTGCTGACTGGAGGTCTTTACTGAAGCACCGAGCATATGCACGTTCTGGCCACATTTACAGAGAAGTTAGGGGTCATCTGTGGGTTGTGAGGGAGGGAACATAGGAAGCAATGTATAAATGGAACCTGTCCTCTCAGCATTTGCATCACCTGCCTGGGAAGCCTGAGATGGGAACTAGCATTCTGTGACCTGTAGCTGCATAGAGGGGCTGAACGCACACTTTTGTGCTTCATTGTGATATGGTGTACGTGGCTGGGCATGTAAAAGCGATAGGAAACCACAGAAAACAAAAAGTCCCCTGCAAGGTACTGTCATAATGTGCTAGTGTGCATCACAGACCAGCACATTACATAAAACTTACTGTAGCCTCCCTAGCGGTCTGATTATGTCAGTATTTCTGTGCTCAAAACGGTACATTTTGTTTGCATGGATATGTGTATTTTTGTTTATTGTAGGCTGTAATTTTTAGGAATAACTCACTGAAATCTGTCCGACCAAGAGTCTAGTAAACATCCCGGGTATGCAGGGGCAGACTGACAACTCATGGGGCCCCCGGCAATAGGGGATCATGGGGCCCCTGTGTCCTTGCCCAAACTCAAAAAAGCCTATGAGAAAGGTACCAGGGGCATCTCATGGGGCCCCCTACTGTGCCCGAGTTTCCAGTTGGTCAGTCTGCCCCTGCGGGTATGTTAAAATTGGAAACACAAAATCATAAATTATTATTTAATAATCATTAAAAAGTAATAAGAATAATTTTAATTCAATAATGTAATCAAATCAAAAATACTGAAATTTGAAATAGAGCACCAAATTCGCACATCACTGAGCAAAGTCGCAAAATCATTTTCAGTGTCTGATGACAAATTTCCCCACCAATCATTATCACTCAATTCTGCAAGTGGTTCTGATTTACTATCGCTGTTCTCTAGCTGGTCTAAAACCGCTTTTGACCTAAAGGGACGATTTGTGGACGCCATGGATGTTTCTCAGTTTCCAGGCAGAAAAATGCAGGCAGGGCACAGGACAAAGCACTAGGGAGAAAATGTATGTGAAATGCTTTGGTACAGTAATGTTTTACTATATGATTTTAGTGAATGTCACTTTTACAACTTCCAAATTTCCCGCCGTTCCGTCCCCGTACGTCCTGACGTCGCAGGGAACGGAACCCAGAAGACAGATGCTGGCATCCGCCGGAGGACATTGCAGTGGACACTGCAGGAGGGACATCGCGGGAGCGCAGGACAAGGTAAGTGAAGAAGAGATCCTGAAGCAACACTGCAGGGTATTCCCGAGTGTAGCTCGGGGTTACCACTTGTTGTGCTGAAACTTTACCCCGAGGTACACTCGGGAATACTGCCAGGGAGGTTAAAACGAAGCCCTCCAGCAGCGCGCTGTCACTGCTGTAGAGGCTTCCATCTTCGTTATTTTAACTGACAATTGCGCAGTCATTCAACGCTGCACCCAAATTAAATTTGTTTTTTTTTTTTTTTCCCACAAATGGAGCTTTCTTTCAGTGGTATTTGATTGCCTGTGCATTTTTTTATTTTTTGCACTATAAACAAAAAAAAAGTCCGACAATATTTTGAAAAAAAAAAAGAAAAACTATTTTTGACTTTTGCTATAAAACATATCCAGTAAAAAAAAAAAAAAAAAACAAATTTCGTCATAAATTTAGGTCAAAATGTATTCTGCTTCATGTCTTTGCTTAAAAAAAGAAGAAAAAAATCTAAATACATGTAAATTAATTGGATTACATGAAGGTTATAGCGTCTACAAATGGCAATATATATACTGGATTTTTTCTTAATACACTAGTAATGGTGGCGATCAGCGACTTCTAGCAGGACTGCAGTGGGCATTCTGATACGGGGGGGGGGGACTAACTGCCACCGACATCCCCAGTGACACTAACACAATGATCAGTGCCGATAAAAAGCACTGACACTGTACTAATGGCACTGGGCAGGAAGGGGTTAACATCTGGGGCAATCAAAGGGTTAAGTGCTGTTTTACTGTGTGTGTTTTAGGCTCCATGTACACGAGCTGCTGCTAAACTCCCTCGAGTTGAGGAGTTTTGGGCATTTTTTTTTGCCGAAGCTACTAAACTCAACTCTATAAAAGCCTATGTGTCCATGTACCTGTCTCTGGTACCTTTTTACCAGAGTTTAGGAGCTGCCGCATTTTGGTGAGGTTAAACCTCCCCAGGGTCGGACTGACAACGCATGGGGCCCCCGGGCAATAGGGGATCATGGGGCCCCTATCTCCTTGCCCAAACTCAAAAAAGCCTATGAAAAAGGTACCAGGGGCATCTCATGGGGCCCCCTACTGCCCTCAGGCAGTGCCCGAGTTTCCAAACGGTCAGTCTGCCCCTGAACCTCCCTCTCCTGAGCGCAGAAGAATCATGTTCAGGATAGGAACGTTTTGACCGCCGGCCGTGGGTAAATGTAAAACGTGGCAAAATCGCGGTACCGCAGTTGCCACAGTTTGCATTTTCCGGCAGTCAGGGTAGGCTCGTGTACATGGAGGCTTACTAGGTAAACTTCTGACAGGAGTGATCTGTGTTGTTTACATACAACTCCCCTGTCACTGTTCCTCGGCGATCGCCGGGTGCCGGCGGGGAATCTCCGTCTAGGACCCGTTGATCGACAGCTGTAGCCACCAATGGCGGCGCAGGTAGGGCGGCACACACCCTACCTGGAAATACAAAATGACATATATATGTGATTTTTGCACAGCCCTGTAGCAGTAATTCTGCTATAGGGCGGCGGGGAAACGGTTAATAACACTGGTAGGTTTAATTGTTTAAAGTCGCGTTAAAAAAGCAGCATTTTTGCATTAGCGTTTAGCCATGTTTGCGTTTTTAGTGTTTTTTTTTTACATAAAACAATTTTTGCTTAAAAAGCCCCAAAACAAAAAAGCTGAATTGCTGCATTTTACAGCGTTGGTGCGTTTTTACAGCTAAAAACCTCCTCTCGAAACCCACTAGTTCTGGGGGGGGTTTCCAGCCAAAAAACACTAACCACTTCCTGACCGCCCTATAGCAGAAATACTGTTACAGGGCGGCCCAGGTGTGCAAAATCACGTATGTATAGATGATTTAGCATTTCCGGGTAGGGGGCACGCACCTGAGCCATGGCTGTCAATCACCGGGTAACTTGCCGGCTCCCGGTGATTTTCCAGGATCTGCAAAGGGGAGAACTGTTTGTAAACAAAACAGTTCTCTCTGTCTACTCTTGCACACTGTTTTGTGCAGTGTGAATACAGTGAAGCACACGAACACAGCACATAGTGAATCAACACAAAGTTAACCCTTTGATTGCCCCTCACGTTAACCCCCTCCTGCCCAGTGCCATTAGTACAGTATCAGTGCTTTTTTTTTTTTTTTTTTTTTTTTTTTTATAGCACTGATCACTGTATTGGTGTCACTGGGGATGTCAGTGACACCAAGTCCATTTCTCCCAGTGCGAGAATATCCGTCGCAGTCCCTCCATAACTTGCTGATCGCTGCCATTACTAGTAAAAAAAAAAATATATATATATATAAAAAAAGCCCAGTGTATATATCGCCACTTGTAAACGCTATAATGTTCCCTTAAACTAAATAATTTACACGTACTGGGATTTTGTTTTAGCAAAGACATGTAGCAGAATGCATTTTGGCCTAAATTTGATTTAAAACATTTTTTTTTTATTGGACATGTTTAATAGCAAAAAGTCAAAAATATTGTTTTTTGTTCTCAAAATTGTCGCTTATTTTTTTTATAGCGCAAAAAATAAAAACCGCACAGGCGATCAAATGCTACAGAAAGAAAGCTCAATTCGTGAGAAAAAAAGGGCATACATCTAATTTGGGTGCAGCGTTGCATGACCGCGCAATTGTCATTTAAAGTAACGCAGCACTGTAATGCAAAAAATGGGCTGGTCACGAAGGGGGTAAATCTTCAGGAGGGCAAGTGGTTAACTGCTGCCCTATATATTATCATTATACAGAATTGATATAGGACCAACAGTTTGCGTAGCACTTTACAAAATTAAGGTAGACATTACAGTTTAGCAGAAGTACTGCTACAGGGCGGCAGGGCTGTGCAAAATCACGCGTATATATGCGTGATTTGCATTTCCGGGTAGTGGGCGCATGCACGCCACCCTACCCACGCTGTTTTGGCGACTAGGGATATCGATCACTCAGCAACCATCAGGGAAAGCTGACTGGAGAGACCTGTGTAAACATCACAGGTCTCTCTCCTATCAGCATGGGCATGCTGTTTTGTAAACCGCATTTCTCCCAAGTAAATCGCAGCACACAGTAAAACGCACACAGTTAACCCTTTGCTCACCCCAGATGTTAACCCTTCCTGCCCTGTGTCATTAGTACAGTGTCAGTGCTTTAGATCAGTGTCAGTCAATTCCCACCCAGTGTCAGAATGCCTGCCGCAGTCCCGCTATAAGTCACTATAACTTTCACATAATACTAAAACATTTTTTTTTGTGTGCAATGTTGTCTCTTTTGTGAAAAGGCTGTGGTGTTGAGAGTATTCAAATTTAAGCTGGTTATACACAGTTAACTTTCTTTTCATTCTTCCAGCAGGCTGAATAAAAAAAAATGAACAGGTTCCACCATGCACACAAATCAGGTGGATGGAGGAATCCTCCATGCCAGGACATTGTATTCACACAGTGGTGGCTGGTTGACTGCAGTCGTTTTTTGACTTCTGTTGAGCAGGGGAGTTTCTCACACTGACATTTGGTCGCAGCCAAACTGGCCAAATATGTTAGTGAATGTCCAGCTTTTCACCCTATTCAAATCTCTGCACTGCAAAATGCCTATAGCATTAGTTTGCCTTTCAGATGCATTTCAGTATCATTTCAGAATTTCTGAAGCTCTCCAAATGCCTGTTTTAAGTAG